TATGTCCTCACTTCATGAAGCCTAAAATGTTCAGTTCTTGTGGAAACTGTTTTAGAGAGGTGTTGATCCAACTGTTTTGCAGGGTGTAGTTTGTGCTTCTGTTGAACTGCACAGCATTATACTGGTGGGTGTTTCTGTTATTTCTGTGGGCTTTTCCGTCTACTAGTTTTACTTCTACACTGTCAGCTGTACATCTTTTATAATGTAAACATATACATTTATTGCCTGTTTGTTTGTGAGATTCACTTCTGTATGTTTCCTGGCTCCATTTTTGCAACGGTCGATGGAATGTTTAAACATAAGGGACAACGATGGAGCTTAATTCCTCTTTCGTTGATTAAAATTTGACATGTTGTATGTTAAAACATGTTGGAATGTTGTCAGTAAACCTAAACCTAAATTCAGTGTACAATCACATCTTTATATCATCCCTCTCAGGTGCAGACCGTTTCATGGATGACGTGGCTCGTATGATTGGCTATCAGCCCCTACCCTACATGAAGTGGTGCTGGTCCTACGTCACGCCATTTGTTTGCGTGGTTAGTGCTGTTCTATAAAGTTCTGTAGAAGATTTACATGCCACTGGCAAATAGTTGAAATTTTTATGTTTGTGTAGGGAGTGTTCCTGTTCCATCTGGTGAACTACAAGCCCCTGACCTACAACACAGTGTACACATATCCCTTGTGGGGTGAAGCGCTTGGTTGGGCATTGGCTCTGTCCTCCATGCTCTGTATCCCTGTAACTGTTCTCTACAAACTACTGCGATGCAAAGGATCTTTGCGGGAGGTCAGTATGCCTGGGTGCAAAAGTGCATGTTCATACACTTTCTGTTTTGCATGAGTTTCTGTTTGTAATTGCCGATCAATCAGTAGGAATGTGTCTCCATGGATACTACCCTCCCTCTCCTGTCCATTATTTGGTTATCTGACTTCATCATTGCTTTTTAATGGAGAAGGCTGAAGCATCTCTCTAATAGCGGGCTCATGATGTCCATGTCTCTTCTGTGTAGCGGTGGCAGCACTTAACCACCCCAGTTTGGGGCAGACATCACCTGGAGTACCTGGCCCCAGAGAGCGAGGCCAAACTGCTGCCCTCTGCAGGACCCAAAAGTACCCTTCTCTTTGAAAGTGTCATCTGATGAGCTGAGCCAAGTTCGCCCTTAACATCAGCACACATATACAACAAACTGCACACATTACATGCACACCACACTGACCTGTTAAAAAGCAAAGTGCAGATTAGTTAGCACCCTATAGTTTTAAAGCTATGGAAAAGCCTTGGACATGCAGTATGGACCAAAGATTAGATGGGAGAAGAACTGAAACACACCCACACCCATACAGTCATTACAGGCTGATATTCTCTCTGCTCTGCTTTCTGACACTACCTCGCTGACTCTCCCCTCTCGTTCTGCTTCCTGTGTTTGTGGTGTCCTGTCCCGTCTTGTTCAGTGAGTGTGATTTGTCCAGTGTAGTTGCAATAACTCCCCTTTATTCAGCAGCCTTGTCCTAATGTGGCATGCCATTTTTGTGTGAGTGAGCAGGAACTTAAAAGATTCTGATGAATCTTTCAAAATGAAAGACCCCATATCTGTTCCTGATATGCCATAGTCTTATTGTGCAAGGGTATTTTTTATTATTATTATTATTTTATTTTATTTTATTTTTTTTGTGATGGCATAGCTGTACATTCGTGGGCGTGCGAATGTGTCTGTAAGAATGCGTGTTGAACCATGGCTTCATTTATATGTACAGTAACATTGCTTCTGGCCAGTGTTTTCTGACAACTGTATTCTCTTAACTGTACAAAAATCACTTCCATTTGTAAAAATAATAATAATAATCAGAGAAAATGCATCACCTCTTCCAGCTAACCTAAGTATCCAATGTATTGTAGAGTCTGTGAATCAGTGTTAATATTTGTAAATATTCGGAGGGCATGATGGTCAGTATTTCTACTGTAAGAGAAGGAGAGAAACTTTAGACTGAGTTGTGCAAAGAGCAGGAAATGGGCTTGTGGGGAGGGGAAAGAGAAGATGCCACGACAGGAAAGAAGCAATAAATTACCATAGGAAGATGGATGTAATGTGTGTTTTTGACACTTTATTTACCTGGTTGTATTCATTCTTTATTCATAAAACATACTGGTGACATGTACGGGTCTAATCACTTTAAATGAACGCCTTTAAAAAAAAATGAACTCCAAGATACATTTGATGGTTAAAACATTTAAAAGACATAACAAAGCTGCTAACTACAAGTGTGATCAGTCAGTGAGCACGATCAGCAGTATACTCTCAAGGAAATGTGTGGTTTTTAACACATGACCTTGTTTAAGTAGGAGTGGTTAACCCAGTAAACCAGTCATTAGAAGATTCCTAACAAATATATTTATGTTTTCTGCACATACTGTAGATAATTTGTGGTGGTTGTCCCCTGTGTGGGGAATCCCTGATGCCCTGCTGAGAGTCAGCTGACAAACAGCTTTGCATTTGAATAAATGTGTTTAGGAAATGTGTGTGCACTTAGAAAACACATTTTTCTAGTCTTTACGACTGTAAAGATTAACGTTAGAAATGCACCTTGCAGACCACACATTTCCAACATACATTTAAAAAAACAAAAACAAAATATATATATCTTTGTGCCTGGGAGAAAATATGTTTGAGTGGACAATCCAAATCAGTTCAGTAGATGTGAAGCATACAGATGCCTATATCACAATGGAGCGTTAAGCTCTTGATAGGCAATAATAACATGCGGCTGGATCCCAAACATAGAAAGGAGCTCAAAGTGTCAGAGGAATCAGATGTGTGAACACTGATTATAAATACACCCACACTGTGTTTAAAAGCTGCTGCTCTTTTTAAATGTAACACCTATTACATCTCTGTAATTCAGCTCATTTTTGCAAGATTTTAGAGGGAACGTAGAATCTCCCAGATGGAATGGCCCGATCTTATCAATGACAAATATTTACATTTTATTGTTTCATTGAGGAATATATTTAGCTTTCCATTTCTAAAAGAAAAGGAGGACCAGCTGCAATGGATCAAACATTTGATGCATACACATTGTGGCCTTTCTGTTCATAACAACACCTCTTGTATATGTGTTTTCCCATACAGTCAACCTTCAACTCAATTTGCCACACAGGCTATAAATACAGATCCTTCTCAGTCCAGTGTTACATTCTCCCACTCAACCCCCACCCCTTCTCTGTCTCTCACACACACACCACAGAGCTGCAATGACGTATTGCTGACTATCTCATTAGGTGAAATCATAAAAAGACCGTTGCCACAGCAACGGCACCATGTCGAGGTGGTGCATTCTCCCCCACTGAAGGAGGGGGTCATTGATGACCGATAGTGAGGAGTGGAGGAAGAGGAGGAGCAGGAACAGGACAAAGAGATGGAACAGTCTGACCCCTGCTGATCACAAGTAGGTGTCGACAGAAACATCCTGAAAAATGAGAAGGATTTAGGACTAAAGGCCAAAAAAATTATACTATAGTAAGGACAAATAATAAAGATGAAAGTGCAATGGAGGACTGTAATAAATATCCATGGTGATCAACTCACAAGTATGAAGTCTGTCAGCTTCTGTTTCTTGAGAATATAAAGCACTGCATCGTGAACAGTGACAAACAGCCTGCTCTTTGGGATTAGCTCCGAGAAGAATCTGGCAGTTTCCAGCTGTTTCACAACGCTGGCTAAGATTTGACACATATACAGATAGAAGAACATGCATGACATTAAGAGACTATGAGAGGGAAAGCATTTTGTAATTTTAGAAATAAATGTTTCTGACAAGAGAGAGACAGAGAACAATGTTGTGCTACCGAAGCTAAGACCTTGACTTTCATAGCCTAAAGCTTCAGTGCCCTGAGTCTACATTAAGGACATTGTTTTGTCTGGTGTGCCACTCACCTTGGCAGCCTGCTAAATAGATGTCCATATCAAGCTCCCCAGCATCTCTGAAAATCTATAAGAAGAGACAGAGATCATTGTTTGTTTTGTCTTCTTTCTTAAAGAAACTGCAGGCTCCCCCTGGTCACTTATGTACACTTAACAGTTATCAGATGATTACATGTTATCACTGTCAACACATACACATACATTTTTCAAGGTATTCACAGCGACTATGTCCACAAAGTTTGTTGTTGAAATGTCCAAGATTATGCTGTGCGTGCATGATCCGTAGGCCTTTCCTTTCTCCTCATCGCCATCATGCGATACCTTGTCGATGCTGTCATCACCATGGCAACTCGTGTCTGAATCTGAGCTCAACATGGATGTGTCATGTTGGTAAGCCTGGTTTATGTGGCCCATACCAAGGTCGCTTGTAGAAGCCTCAGTCAATCTAAAGTCTGCACAGTTCACTTGATTCTGTCCACTCAGTCCAACAGAGAATCCCCCCTCGTTGTTCTCTGACTTCTTTAAAAAGCATGTGCCACTGGACCGATGTCTGGCCGCTCTTTTCTGACAATAGGTTGAAAATGCGATAATAAGTATTAGTGAGTTAATATTCACAAATGACTGTGGTCAGAAATAAAAGAATTAGCACAATTTAAAATCTCTAAATGTGTTATTTAGCACATCATACTTGTTTCTTTGCCTCCTTTTTCGCTTTCTCTTTCTCTTTCTCTTGTTTACACTTCAGCACTCTGTCTTGCTTCTTCTTCGCTGTCAGCAGATTCCTGATGTCAATTCCAGTCTGCACAAAAAGTCAAGCATCACATTAAACAGAAAAGAGAGAATGTAGACATGTGGGAGAGATAATAAGAGCAATTCAGGGTGATGGAGACAGTGGACAGGGATTACATCTTGCAATCAAATGCAAGGCCGCACAGGAACACACACAGACTTTTGTGGATGCATTCATGCACCTTCTCTTGCAGGGCCTCCAAGTACATCTCAGCATTTGTGTGGTAGATAGTTACAGATGAACGGAAGATTTTAATTCCTGGAATCTCTTTAGCCTAGGGAGACACATCATAAAGTAGAAGAGATCAGAAGCTCATATCTTGTTCTGCCCTTTGAGCTGTCTACCTCCCCCAGGTATTGTTTGATTAAAGGGAGCTCTGGTACTGCTGCATGACTGAAAGTTGACCTAAGTTTATCCACAGAATGGTACTCTAAAAATATCAGTTCACCAAAATTTCTGAAAAATCACATTATCAAAGTTACCCTTAGTATCTAGTAACAGACCAGGCAGACCAATTTCCATTTCCATTGCTTGAGTCATACCACTAGTATGGCTAAAAGCTAAGCAGGAATATACTGTAGAATTAATGTACTTTCTGCTGAAGAAACAGTCAAAAGTGGTACCAGAGAGCTCTGCAAATTAATAACTGAGAAATTCTTTTTCACTGTGTTTGGAACAAATAGCCACCACAATTTCAAAACTCAAACACATCACAAATAACACATACATACATAGTATGTTTTTTTATAATCTGGGTAAACCAACCCTTCTGAATAAATATGGTACCAAGCATCTTTCATTTATCACTAAAGGATTCTTACCTCCTTGTAGCTTTCTATATCCAGATACAAGTCAGTGCCTGGCACAAGACCCAAAATAGAGTAGTGAGGTCTGAAAGGTGTTAAAATAACAACATTACAGTGATATCTGTCATGCACCTCAGTGAAAATCTCATGTTTGCAGATATGCCAATAATTCATAATTAGTGATGTGTAGTAGTTACAGTTGCAATCTGAAGACAATAGTAAGCACAGAAAAGCCTACAGAGACAGCCAGGCCAATGTCCAGGTTGAGCAGGAGGGCACTTACAAACGTTATCAGCCACACCAGCTAAAGAGCCAAATAAACACTGACAGTCACTGGGGGCAACAGTGATGTTTGGTTCAAATAATATTTAACTCAGCAGAATGACTCTCAAAAAGAACGTGGTCATACCAAATCGACTTTGCTGGTCTTCCACAGGGTATGGACATCAGCAAACTGTATAAACATTCCTTTCAAGTTCACAAACACTATTGAAGCTAAGACAACCTGAGGAAAACACACAACATATCTCACTATTAAATTGTCTGCCAAGAGAGAAAATGATCATTAAAAACAAAGCTACAGGAAGGAGAGTGTTACCTTGGGGAGATCTTCAAAAAGAGCACCTATTCCCAAAATTGTGACCAGCACAATGATGGATGAAACTACTCCTGCAACCTGACAACACACACACACACACACACACATGCACAATATGTGATAAATGTCTCAAGCTGAACATATGCAATGTATGTATTCATAGGTATTTGTGCAAATATTCTGTTTACTTGTGTCTTGCCTCCTGTTGTCTCCTGGACGAGGCTGCGAGACATGGAAGAGGTCACAGTGTAGCAATAAAAAAAGCTGCCAATGCTGTTACTAAGGCCCAGTGCAATAATTTCCTAAAAAAGAAGAAAAAGTAAGACAAGACACAACATCTCAGTTTAGCTTAAAGAAATGGAACATTTAGGCAGAAAAGCAGATGACCTATATTATTAGAGACATTTGAGGCACAACACTTAGACTGCATATTTTTAGAAGTCTGTGGTACATGGTTCATCAAATCTATGTCCAAGTCAAGACATCACAGCTACACTGAGAGTAGTGCTAGGCATATTTAAGAGACACATGATTGCATAGAGTTTGTTGGGCATTAATGATTTAGCAGCTCTGAGAGGCTGTGAGTGCTTCCTGCCCATCTCTCTCCAGAGCAGAATGATCCCATTCATGTGTGTGTGTGAATAAGCCTCTGTGCTACAGACCACTTGCCACTTTGCCTCCACCAACCAGTCATGTTCACTGGGATGAGAGGGGTGTAAGGACACAGAGACCTTGATCTTTGACCACCAAAAATCTAATCAGTTCATCACTGAGTCCAAATGGTTGTGTATTTAAATTTTGAAAAACTCTCCTCAAAGCATCCTAAGATGGGAGGGCGTGTGTCTGCTGAGCTCACAATCAGCACAGGCTCACTGCAGGGCTGCTGGCTCAGCCCCAAACTCTTCACCCTGTACACCCACGACTGTGTCTCCAACCATGACAACACCATCATCATTAATTATGCTGATGACACCACCATCCTGGGCCTCATCCGGGGGGGGGGAAGTCGGGTCATAGAAGCTTGGTGAACAACATTCTTGTTTATGAAGAGGAGAGAATGACCTCATCCTCAACATAAACAAGACAAAAGAATGATAGTAGACTTCAGGAAGACCCCTAACATCTGACCTGAGCTGGTCACTGAGCACACAGTCCACAGTGAAGAAAGCCCAGCAGCAGCTATACTTCATCAGGCGGCTCAGAAAAGCTGTGTTGAACCGTTGCCCTCTCACCCAGGCTTATAGAAGATGGTAACACCACACAGGCAGAGAGGAAGGCTCTTCAAAGGGTCATAAAGACTGCAGAGAGGATCACTGGGACTGAACTGCCTGCTATGGACACACTGTACACACAGCACTGTCATAAAAGGGCAGAGAACATAATCAGGGATCCACGCCACCCAGCTCACTCTCTGCTCAGACACAAAAACTGCACCTACAGCCTCAGGCACAGCAGGGCGGACAGTATCATCACACACAGAACAAGACTTTACGAAAGCTTTTTCCCTGCTGCAGTAAAACTGATGGCAAATACGAAAATGTGGGAAATGTGAGAATATATGTGCAATAACCCCTTACTAGACATGGGCAATAATAATACAGAAATGTTCCACAAGGTATGCTTGTAAGAGCATCTCATCAACAGTGTTCTCTTGGGGTACCTGAATAATAGCAAGACATTCTCCACCAAGCAATGGAAACAGGCCTGAATATAAACTGTGTTTTAGTATGTTATAACCCATCACTACCTCACCAAGCATAATGACATATCCAACTCCACCATGTGAATTACTAAGTGGGATATTTGAAGTTCACTGGGGAAAATACTATTACCCTATTTCTGTATATTGCGGTTTTAATGCTTTGTTGCCTTTAAGTAACTTTTCTTATTTTAAGACTAAGTGTTCTTTCTGGTTTTTGACTCCATACCTGACTCTAAAGGAGAGCTACACAAGAATTCCTATATGCCTAGACTGTCTGTTTATGTATAAATGGCAATTAAAAATCTTGACTCAACTTGATATTGTTTGCACAAGAAAGTGACACATGCACATAGCTACAGAAAACCAAAAACATAATGCCTCTGGTTAAGCTGTCTCCAGCACTTAACCATAAGACACAATTAGAATTAGGCTACTGCCTCGCAGGTATATCCCTCTGCAACCAGTCAGTTTGCAATTTACATGCATGTCTGCCCAGACTCATATAATGTATGCAGGGACCACTTTGTTTGTCCATCTGTCAGAGAATAAGTTGAGCACCTTTAAATACCACCCTGGAACAAGTGCCTGGTAAGTAACACAACCAACAGAGTGCACTGCAAGATCGCTCATCAACTTCACGCTACTTAAGTTTGCCTGATTGCTGTTTCCACAAAGTTATTAACATCAAATGCTTTTCTACTGTGACTTGAATCCTGGAGAGCTTTGTCAAATTATATTCTGAAAGACGTTTGAGGCACTGTAATATTTGAAAATGGACTTCTCATCTTTGGTCAATTCCTTAAAAAATTAAGGCAATCCTATTTCAGTCCGTTGTTATAATAGGGTAGTTTAACCCAAACATGAGAAATATTTCTACTGATGTGAGTCATAACCAGCTAGCAGTAGTTTCCAACTAGCAGTGATTAAAACAGAGACTCCAAATATAATGGTCACAGGCTATTCATGAATATTAGTGTGGATGTGTGTTCACTCCTCACCTGGTTATTGTCCACCTTGTAGCCATGTTTGAGGGCAAATGTTTTGGCCAGGGAAATGTTGATGGTATAGCTCACTATAGCAATGGCAAAAGCATCACCTACGATCAACGAGAAGAAAGAGGCATCTGGCACAACAGGGGCCCTGAGCCTGGAGCAGGAGGAAAAGATGAATGGTTTTTATCTGGTACCTTGTACAGTGTAGAGCGCTGACACAAGCAGCTCTACAAACAGTTCTGGACATTAGGGCAACTCGCATTTTCCCTGAGGTTGTTAAAAACTCTAGCAGCATGTTTGACGTTTTGCTCATTTCTTACAGGCTGTGCTCTGTTATTGTTTATGGAAACAGGTCACATGTGCTGCAGCTGCCAAAGACATGAACTTTTTCAACAATTTAGTAAAAACATCTCATCTTTGTTTTTACCAGAAAATGACCAAATCAGAATGCCATGAATACTACATTAAAATCAGACACAGGAAGGCTTTCAGTAGCTTTTGTAAATATTACAGTTATTTGCAGTTTTGTAGCCTCTGTTTACACTTATAGCATTCTGGGGAAACACTGCTCACTTGTGAACTTTTCCACCACACAAGCTTTCCCAAGATCAGTTTTTTTTTTACTGCCAAAGTGTACCCTGGCGTCTCTCTAGAATGTGTTACTTTATCTTATCAACAGCTCTATATAGCTGATATGAAATATGGTACGTTTGCATCTATGTCCTTGTAAAAAGTCATGCACAAACAGGTGTCATGAGTCCCACCTCTTACACTCCCTTTCTCTTTTATGTACACAGAAACATACACACACACACACAGAAATACTAAACTTACCCAACGGGAATCACTCCGACTACATCAATGTTGTATTTACTCACAAGTCCACAGTAGTGGGTGATGGGTGTTGCTATTATGATCTAGTGGGGAAAAAAGGCAAAAGGAATGTCACCCCAGTATGTGGGATTTTTATTGCTTTAAGCACATACAACCCTCTTGTTAGCATGTGTACACAGGGTCAACATTCCCTTTGTGCATTATGCTTACTGTCCCTGTGGTGAAGACGCCCCCTGCTGGACTGGTAAATATACACACCCTCTGTATAAGTGAAAAAGAGAAGCTAGAGGGAACAGCAAATGAAAGACTCACAAGTATGAGTTCTATAGGGATGGGTAGAGGTAGCTTCCGTCTGTAGTAGAAATTGAGCACTTTGATCGCAATGAGAACTGTAAGCGAGATCAGGCCGGTCACCAGCACTGGCACTTTAGTTTTAGGCAGCAGTTGGCAAACATCCACCACAGTCTGTGAGGAAGCGAGAAGGAAATGACAGAAGGACAAAGTTGGAAATGAGGTGAATACACATATCCTGAAGAAAGCAAAATGTTTTAATGATGATCTGCTTATTGGCTTTGCCACCTTGCTGCCCCAAAATAAAGCAAGCAGAAAAAGTTATAGAAGTGTCTAACAAAACTATACAGCTACTCTTCAAAAGATCTGAATTTGGTGAAGTCATAATATTTTTGGTTGTTTGATGCAGCACATTTTCATACAGAAAGGCAATTCAAAGTGCTTAACACAATGCACATAAATGCTACTACTCTCCTAGTACTCTCCTACTCTCTTAAAGTCAATCAGTTAGTTTCCTGTTTGTATCAATATGTGAACTGTGTAATATATGACATACTCACATATATAACGGAGAGAGGACCGCTGTAATGAGCCGGTGAGACTCCAAACAGGGCACTTAGCTGGGAGACAAATACCTGACACGCTGATGCAGTGGTGTAAGCACGAATCAGTGAGTTAGACAGGTAAGATACCATGAAACCAAACCTAGCCACTCCCAGCAGGATCTTAGGATGGAATAGAGAGATAAAGTTAATGAACTGTGACTTAAAACTGTTGTTCAAATACTTCAATGCACTCACTACACGCTTTCAATTTGATCAAAATAGGCACGCAAACAGAAACACACACCTGAAAGATTCCTGTCAAAATTGCCAGGGAACATGCTATCTGTACTCTGGCAGCATCCCGTGCATCAGTGTTCACACTTGTCTCATTAGTGCTATTTACAAAAAAGTTGTGGTCTGGTGCCAGCCTTTTTGTCACACTCCCAACCATTATACTGGTCACAGCAAATGTACCTGCACATATAAACATGAGCACGTAGACACACAGACACAGTTAAGGGTTGATTTATCCATGTTGATGTCATGTCTTTTTCTTTCCTTTTCAAATACAGAACCTACACACACTCACCTATGGAGACGTGTCTGGAAGTTCCAAAGATGATATAAACCAGCACCGGGTAGAAGGAGGTGTACAAACCATACACAGCGGGTAAGGCAGCCAGAGGAGCATATGCCATGCCTAGTAAAATAAATAAATAAGGATAAAACTCTGTCCCTCATCCAGAGCAAATTCAGTGTTAGCTAAGGCTAACATACTTTGGATATTTAAAATGTTAATGGCAACAAATTCATTGATGATTTTGGAAAGAGTTGCCTTACTTGTTGAGAATGAGATAAAAGGATTGATACTTCTCTCATTTCTGTTTGTTAAATATAAGGCTACAGCATGGAGACAGTAAGCGTATTTTCACAGACTGGGGGCAGCTGGAAACCCCTAGACTGGCCAAGATAGACATGAGAGTGGTACCAGTCTTCTCACCTAACTCCCAGCAAGAACGAGATGCAAGAGAGTGCATTTCCTGAAATGTTGAACTATACCTTTAAAGTGACAAGTTTGCTAAGTTTGTGAGGTATGATAAACTCTGAGCTCTTTCCACTGCACACATTCATACATACAGACCTTGTGGCAGATGCATGACGGCCACACTACAGCCAGAGATCAGGTCACCAACTGCGTTTTCTTTGAGTGAGTACTGAGGCAGCCAGCCCAGAATAGGCACCCAGCTCAGCACTATGCTCTTCAGCCTGGGCACCGAACATCTGAAGGACCATCCCAGAAAAACATTCCATTCATATTACTGAGTATGTAATAGTGAAGTCACATAAACACACAAATTATCATTCCAATTATTCACTCACTGTTGAACTAGGTACATGTGCTCTCTGAGTGCTCTTGTACTTGGCTGTTTGAGTTTTACTGGGATGTATTATAAATGATTTAAGATAAAAGGGAACATCTTGTTTAAGATGTGTAGGCCAGAGATGATTTTATAACATAGAACCTAGTCAGAAGATGTGTGGAAACTAAAAACCTGGTGTTTATACAACACTGAGAACGGACTTTTCCATGAAAATACTATTGTGTGTCCAACAGTTGAACTTTGCAATATCTGCACATTTATAGACTGTGGGTTTTTCAGTGAGGAATAAAGAGTAGATTTAAGTTCATAAGCGAACTTCTTCACAAAAAGTGTCTTTACGAGCCAGTTTTGTCAGTACTATTGTAAAAACTTGACAACTGCTATTGTTTTTATCAGTTAACCTTGTAAAACAGTGACACACCGAAGAACACTGACAAGTCCATATGCTACTGACAGTATAGATAACAGTGTTTTATTGGGAATGTATTGTGAGAATGGCTGCATAAACAAATATTATCTCTTCTTCCCAGAAGATGTTCAGCAACTTGTTAAACTGTGACCACAAAGTTCTGTCCTCCTAACCTGAACTGTTACAAGTTTACAACATTTGGTCTGACAGTATATGTCCTGTGACTGGTTTATGTGTCTTCTATACAACAAGTCACATGTCATTATAAATGTTTCCATCTAAATAAAACTGCAAACTCAGCCATTGTCATTAAATGACAGTTTACAAAACTGGTCAGCCTTTTTTTTAAAAAAAAAGGTTTCTGCTATGATATAAAAACAGTTAAACAGAGTGAGCAGCTATAGGATTAGTAAAGCCACATGTACACAGCAACAAGCTAGCAGAAATACATCCAAATACAAATGTTTTCTTTTTGTTAGTTTGCTTCCCCTCATTTGCCTGTCACACCTCTCTACCCTGTGTCATCTCATCTCTCTTTTTACCTTAGGGACTTTTTCATCCGATCAGTCAAGGTTGGTTTATCTGTCCACATCCCTTTTTGTGCCACTTCATTCAGACGCAACTCATCCAGAACCTCCCTCTGTACAAAATATTCCCTCTCCTCCATGTCCATGTGTGTTCAGCACACCTCCGTGAAGCCAGGATCTATTTAAGCTCCCCCCCGCCCCCTTCTCCTTGAGGGTCCTCTTCAATGGGAAAAACTGTTACAGCAAACAGTTACAACCAAAGCCAAACACTGTGTAGTGAGAGTGAAGCCGCCTCACTGTTATTCTTGTTTCTTCAGCTAGTTTCAGACTGTGGGAGTGACCGTTCCTTTTGTGTCCTTGTAAGAGAACAACCACCAACCCACACATTTCTGTTCTGCACACACACACACCTGAAGTAATGTGTGTTTGTGTGTGTGTATGCCGTGGTAAACTCAGTGAAAAATACAGTTAAAGCTGACACTGAAACATTGCAATAGATGGCTGTTGTTTAATGAGTTTTGCAGCCCATATGCAAACACACACACCTTGTGATATTTAGTTTGTTCTATGTTAAAGCTTATATTGTTTTCTTCTATAAATCAAACACATCTCTCATGTGTACAGCACTTTGTTAAGTTTGCCTGCATGCGTAGATTGACTGAAATTTTATCTTTATGACAGCCTGACTCCCTCAATCATTAGTAAAATAAGATTTTCATTGTCAACAAAACACACACTAACACATTGTGTGACTGACATTGTCTAATATGTTTTAGAAAATTTGGCTGAAATATCTTTACTCCCCTGATGACTGAAAAGAAACCAGCAGATCATAGTATGTGTGTGAAATCTGTATCACTAGTCAGGTTTGCTGTGAAATTTTATTTACAAAACTCTTTCTTCACTAAAATCAAGTTCCTTAATCATTCATACCCGTCCTTCCTAAATACTGTTTGTGCATCATGTGTTGTCTCACCTTTGGAGCATTATACACAGTATGCATGCTGTATATGCCTCTCTGTATAAATTTTATATTTAAATAGAGCTCAATATATCATTTTAAATGCAAAAGTTGTTCCACAAAAGCCTAGTTACAGTAACTTTTTCACATTTACCTTTTGAATCCTCTTTTTGATGTTTACGTTGAGCTGGGTTTGAAGGGACACTGTCAAAATGCCGATCAGTATTGATTGAGGTTTATTTACTTTTCCAGACTGTGTAAAAAATAAAAAGCATGCACTGAAATGAGAATAGATAAATCCAATCAAATCAAATTATATTTAAAGGATAAGGTCAGTCATTTTCTGTATTAACAGTATTCTTAACACATCCCATAAAGAGGCTAAAACAATTTGGTTCCTACACATGTACAGTGACCTCTGAAACTACTCTCCAGAAACTGTGAAAGTGATTGCTGTTATTATTCTGTGGAAGTGTTTATACATAAACTACTGTGCCCATATTTTTTATAATGAAGACACGTCACCCAGCGCAATAGTGTATCTCACATTGTGTGTGTGTGTGTGTGTGTGTGTGTGTGTATGTGTGTGTTTTCATAGCTTTTTGCAAAGTGGTTCAATGCCTTGCTTTACCACCATGGGTGTACTGTAGGTCATGGATGAATGTTCACCAAGTTGAAAATCGAGTCTAAGTGAAAAAAAAAAAAAGTGAAAATCAAGTGATCATCGTAAAAAAAGCCTCATTACATAAGTATATAGATCTGGTTCTGAACACAACAGATACTTCACCCATTATTGAAAACCAGCATTATCGAGTCTGTTTAAAATTGAGCCATTTTCATAATAAAAATATTTAACAAAATAAGAATAACAGAAGCATTAACATTACTTTTATTCCGACTAACTGTTTTATCATGGTCTCAGATTTACTCCAATGATAAAAATGCAGTATAAAAGATCTAGCCAGCAGATTTTTGGCTGCGTCAGATGCTTTGAAGCAGTGAATCCTTTTCAATACAGTAGCATCATTTTAATTCAGTGCTTCAGAAAGCCTCGTTTTAAAATCACTACTGGACAGGCCTGCATATAAAGGCAACTCAGATAAAAGGTACATACCCTACACTCACACCATCAGTATGATCACATTACAGGGCTTGCAGACAACCTATTTTTGTTCACCAAGCAGCAAGAGCAGACTAAACCATTAGCATGTAGCAGAGGGGGCCGCCATAAGTTCTAATATGGTTTTACTCACAAGAAATAGCCCTTCACCCTATTTCTTCAGCTGCCAGCATTCTTTACCATTATGCTACTGTATGTACTATTAATGTACAATTTCAACATTATAGATAATAACAATGTTTTATTTCCAGGCTTGGTGAAAGTCCTGTCATGTTAGGGCTCTGGAAACTTCCACTATTCCTCTCCCTGATGTTTCTATCTATGGGAGGCCCCTGCTGGTACGATAGCTGTTTACTGCATGTGCTACACTGATGTTTTGCTAACATGTTGCCGCTTACATTGTGCATGTCTTTGTGGATTGAGATGACTTTTGTATGTCTAGGACACCCTCTGACACTGTCACTATAATCGCAAAAGTATCGGTGGGTCCAGTGCATAGGTTAGGGACACTGGTCCTACAAATGGATCAGAGTTGTTTACATTAGTCATAGTACTGTTTGTTCTTCCCAAACAATACATTTTTATCCCAGTAGTGTTGTGGAGTGTCAAGGTACTCTGGTGAACTTTAGGAACACAGTGATCTTTTTGTCTTTGGAGAGCAGTAGCTTCCTCTGTGCCATGGACACCATATCCGTTCAATGTTTTGTACATAGTAGAGTCATAAAAGGTTTTGGGTTCACATACTTTGATCAACCCAGACTGGCAGTGCATGAATGATGTATTCAGTATGGACAGAAAGGACTCATTGATTTGTGTGTTATCGGTTAAGACAAATTTATACATAAATGCAAGTAATTAAAGTTTTCACTTGTTTTTTCTTGCCAGTGTAGCTGTCAGATTATTATTTGTGTCTTTTTATTCGATATGGTTAGACAATAAAGTTCTATTTTCAAAATATGTAGTTATGTTTGGCCTGAAAACATTTTCTTTTATATGTGATATGTTTGAGCTAAATTTTCCTTTATGTTCTCTTTTTTTCTCCTAAATGTGTTTGCCACAAGGTCTTTCTGTTCTGACAACAGCTGTGCCGACATCCACAACAAGAGTCTATGGATTCTGTGATGCTGGACTCTGTCCAGGCAGAGCATGGCTCACATCTGCTCAGGCAGCTGGAGAGGATGAGAGTGGCTGAGGAACTCACTGACGTGGTGCTGCTTGCAGAGGGGATTCCCTTTTCTTGCCACAAGGTTGTGCTGTCTGCATTCAGCCCTTACTTCCAGGTAGAGTTGACATGCACAGGTGTATAGAAAGTTATTGTGCTGATGTATAAAAATACAGCACAGTGCAATCAGTGTTGTTGCCTGTAGTTGCTTCACATTCCATTATTTTGGTGAATCGTGTCCAGGCTATGTTTACATGTGGTCTGAGAGAGACCCGGGGAGGAGAGGTACATCTCAGAGACACTCCAGCTCAGAGTCTGGAGCTGCTATTGAACTACATGTACCGAGCTGAACTCTACCTTTCAGATGACAACATCCAGGGAGTGGCTGCTGCCGCCTTCCTGCTCCATGTAGATGGAGCCTTCAGGTTGGAAAAGAGGCTGGCAAGTGAGATGTTGATCATCCAATAAAGTGCCATTAACTGGACTTCTTCTTTATCCTGCTTGTACCTCCCTTGGTGAAGTACAGTATTAAGATGGTAATACTGTACATGTTAGAGGGCAGTGGCTCACCCTTCAACTAGGATAACATTTTGTGCTAATTGGTACCTTGTTGCTACTGTTTCAGATTGTGTCAGAGACACATGGAGGCCCGTATGGACCCCTCCAATTGTGTCGGATTGTATCACTGGGCCAGAGACTTGGGGGCCACTGGGCTGGCTGACTGCGCCTTGAGATACCTTTGTCAACAATTTTCCCAGGTTGGTCGTTATTATTAGTAGTATTAAAGCAAGTATCAAATACTTCCTCAATTTGTGCTTTAAAAATGATTGACTCTGGGATCAAAATCTGAATATTATTTATTTAAAAAATGGTTTACAATATGTCTATATAGGCCCCTTAGGACCTGTTTTTGTCAGAGTACAGCTCTACTACAGCAACCTCCTGTCACCTTATTCCAGTTTTTTCCCATGCAGTTTCTTAATGTTGCCACTAGATGGCACTAGAGCTTCTTTTGCTGGTGATGAGGTGTTTAAAAACTTTGGGAATTGCAGTGTTCATTTGATATAGATTGTTCCTTCATTACTCAGAGGCTGCAGTCCTATATTGTTTCTATTGTATTGTAACCATGTATTTTTTCCTTAAGTCGGTCATCACCACTGGGTTTTGCCCCCTTCTTTATTTTGCTTCTCTAGGTTTGTAAAGAAGAAGAAGTGCTGGAACTAGATGCTCAAAGACTTGGGGATCTGTTGGGTTCCGATGACCTCAACATATCACAGGAGGAAGTTGTGCTGGAGCTGGTATTGCGTTGGGTAGAGAGACGAAGAGGGGACTCGCAGAGTGAAGCCCAGGCTGTGGAGTTACTCAGACGTGTTCGGCTGGAGCTTGTGGACCCTGGATTCCTCCGTAAAGCCAGGAGGAAAAATCCAGTGAGAAGGGGTGGGAGAAAAAGGCCAAGTAAGAAAAATAAAGACCTCTCATACACATTAATCAATTGATTAATAGATTGACAGACTATCATGTGTATCCAGGTACTGCTGCGGGATGCTGAGTGCTTTGGGATGATTGATGCTGCTCTACAGAGATCAGCTCAACCTCGCCCAACTCTTCGCTATGGCATGGAGACCACTGACCTGCTGCTCTGCTTGGGTGGGGTTAATAAGGAGGGAGTGCCTGCCCGTCGTGGAGGACGTGCTGACCTCAGTTTTTGCTTTGCACCCCATGGTAGAAAGACTTACTACATCCCCTCTCCACTGAGGGGCTGTGGAGGTATGGGACAGATCACAGCAGGGGCAGTGACACAAGATAACAACATAGTGGTGGCCATAGAGGCAGAAGACCAGCACAGGGTGAAGAGGGTGGATATCTACAGGTGTGTATTTGCTCATCTATCAGAAATCCATATTTCTGAATGGGACTTCATTTAAGACCATATGTTTATGTTTCAGGTATGATAATTCAGAGGAGAACAGCTGGGTGGAGTTATGCTCAGCACCATACAGAGATATGTATGCTTTAGGACTGGTGGGTGATGCCATCTACATGACAGGAGGTCAGATGAAAGTGCATAATCACTACATCATCACAAACAGTGTAGAGAGATGGTCGCTGAAAAGAGGAGGCAGCTGGCTCAGCTTCGCCCCTCTGCCTCTCCCATTAGCCTGCCACTGTGCTGTGAGCCTGAAGCAGCATCTCTATGTGCTGGCAGGCTGGTCACCACAGGTACACAGTTAATGTATATTGGCAAATGATTCAGTGTAACATTTGCCTCTATTTATTCACTGTTTCTCCTATGCTGCTTCTCATTTCTAAGTTCTCACACCATTTCATGTCTTTGTCTTTTCTTCTCCTGTCTCAGTTCCACCCAGATGATGAGCCTGACAAGCTGAGTAACCGTGTGTTTCAGTTTGACACTCGTAAGGACAGGTGGACAGAGCGCGCCAGGATGAAATACTCCAGGTACCGGTGCGGCACAGCTGTTCTCAAAGGCGAAATCTACATACTAGGTCAGACTGCTACACTGAAAGCCACTGTATATGTAAGTAGAAAATGTTGTATAGGAAAGAATAAAGCAGGATTATGTGTATGTGTTTTCAAGGTGGTATAGGATGTGATGGAGAGGACCATGGACAATCACGTCGCTGTCTGAGCTCTGTGGAGATCTATAACCCTGATACAGACACCTGGAGGGCGGGGCCGACCCTGCCCACGTCCCTACTCTCCCTTCGAACCCACGCATCCAATGTGGGAGTACTGGATGGAAAGCTCTACCTCTGTGGATACTACAAAGGAGCTGGTCAGTTACTGGATGCTTATCACTTGTAGCGTTTGCAGTTTTTTGTCACAGTATCCAACAAGGCAGGTTTAGAAACTTGAACTGGAACACCAGACTGTGGCACTGTTACTAAAGAAGGGGGACACATTTGCAAAATGCTCAAAAATGTGTTAACACTCACATTTATAACCAATAATAAATTGTACATTACTAACAGTTACCTTATTCATTAAGTGGCTTTGTTATTTGTGTTTGTATTGTACAGTATGTCTGTTGTGTTTCTCTTTGTGGTGAAATAGCATTCATAGGCTGAAAAGCCTCATGTTGCATAAACACAAGGCGCACTTCGGACTTGCATGAATACTTGCGTCTCTGGAGATTGGATTTTGGTAAACCATAACACACATACTTTCTCTCATAACTGCAGGCCGCCATGACATCATCATCAAGGAGATTTTGGAGCTGGACCCTGCAGACAATGTGTGGACGGTGGTGGAAAGACGAGCAGCCATGCATGACAGCTATGACGTCTGTCTGGTGGCTAACCTCAATCCCCGAGACCTCTTCTCACCCTAATTCATCTCCTTCTGACTGAGAAACAGCACAAATTTCTCATCTTCATAGAGTTTTATACAAACCTGGCTTGAATCCTAACTTTCATATGTATCAGCATCAAGATATGCATGTGAAATCTGCATGGCTCATTGGTCGCTGTTGCTTTGATGAACAAAAGGAGTCAATTTATAAATTCCCCCTCCAAAAACCCATATAAACCTTTACAAAAATTATTCACGTGAACATTTTCCCACTGTTTTGCTACTTGTGGCTAAAGTTTGATCAAGGTTAGGCAAACTACTTGATTTGTATTATTGGTAGAAAACTACATGCAAATGCAGTTTCTGATGTGTACTTGTAGCACTTTAACAACATTGTGTTTCCTCCATTTTTTCAGATGAAAGACGACAGTATCCATTATAAGTTTATAGGTATACTTTTTATTTAACTTTTTGAAGTAAAATCAAATCAAGTCCACACCAGGTTGATTGCCACAAAAATCTACTGTATTTACTGTTTTTTTTTTTTTTTATGATTTGGAAAATATGCTAATTTGCTTTTTTACCAAGCGACAGATGAAAGGAATGACACTGCTCTCATTTCTGTCTTTTAAATATTATCCTGCAGTCAGTACACAGTTAGTTTAGCCTAAAAATAACTGGAAACAAGAAAACAGGAAGTCTGACTCTGTCTAAATGTTAAAAATAAAATCTGCCTACCTTTAAAGCTGATTCTAAGACACATATCTACTGCCTGTCCTGAACATTCACACAGAAATGAAACGTTTTCTGAAAAGAAATTTCAGAAAAGAAATGTTTTCTGCTCCAGTCACCTGAAATAGTTTGCAGAGGGACATTAAATTAAACAACTTGATTCCTTTTGTCTTGAATTCTTGACTTTTGAAGCTCATCAAATACAGCAGCAAAAACTATTCTTTCAACTATGCCAGTATTTAACAGTATGTTGACTGTTTTATTACAAAAGGAATGAAAATAACTTTCTACACCATGAAGATAACATCAGCAAGTTCAGTGTTTATGTCCATAGGTTTAATCAGGTGTGATATTCTTGTTGTTACTGTCGTTACCATTTATAGTTATATTCCACAAACAGAAAAGTTAGATGTGTTAGAGGTGGTGTGTTAGATCTCATCTGACTGTCAGCTAGTAAATATACTTCCTGAAATATCTAAAAAAAACCAACTTTCTTTATGCATTTTAAACAATCAGAGATTATGTTTTTCTTGTGAGTCTTTACAAGACAGACTAGTAAAGAGTTTGTAAAAAGTGTCTGGCAGGTCTGGTTCTTACTGTATCAGTTTTTATACGACTGGACACAGTTGCAACATGTTACTACTGATAAAAATAGATATACAAGTTTTCCACAGTAACCTTGAAGCACCAGCTACAAAGCATTTAAAAAGATACATCATTTGATTTTTTCCAAGCACCTGGTCAATGATGACAGTGAGCAATGTAACAGCCAGCAATGTAATAAGACATAGAAGAGGAGGAAGACAGTGAAAGCTGAAACTGTCTGACCCCTGCTGTTCACATTTGGGTGTAGCAGGGAACATCCTGAAAAATGAGGCAGATTTATGAGTAAAGGCACAAGGAAAAATTCATACTACAGTGCCTTGCGAAAGTATTCGGCCCCCTTGAACTTTGCAACCTTTTGCCACATTTCAGGCTTCAAACATAAAGATATAAAACTGTAATTTTTTGTGAAGAATCAACAACAAGTGGGACACAATCATGAAGTGGAACGAAATTTATTGGATATGTCAAACTTTTTTAACAAATAAAAAACTGAAAAATTGGGCGTGCAAAATTATTCAGCCCCCTTAAGTTAATACTTTGTAGCGCCACCTTTTGCTGCGATTACAGCTGTAAGTCACTTGGGGTATGTCTCTATCAGTTTTGCACATCGAGAGACGGAAATTTTTGCCCATTCCTCCTTGCAAAACAGCTCGAGCTCAGTGAGGTTGGATAGAGAGCGTTTGTGAACAGCAGTTTTCAGTTCTTTCCACAGATTCTCGATTGGATTCAGGTCTGGACTTTGACTTGGCCATTCTAACACCTGGATATGTTTATTTGTGAACCATTCCATTGTAGATTTGGCTTTATGTTTTGGATCATTGTCTTGTTGGAAGACAAATCTCCGTCCCAGTCTCAGGTCTGTTGCAGACTCCATCAGGTTTCCTTCCAGAATGGTCCTGTATTTGGCTCCATCCATCTTCCCATCAATTTTAACCATCTCCCCTGTCCCTGCTGAAGAAAAGCAGGCCCAAACCATGATGCTGCCACCACCATGTTTGACAGTGGGGATGGTGTGTTCAGGGTGATGAGCTGTGTTGCTTTTACGCCAAACATAACATTTTGCATTGTTGCCAAAAAGTTCGATTTTGGTTTCATCTGACCAGAGCACCTTCTTCCACATGTTTGGTGTGTCTCCCAGGTGGCTTGTGGCAAACTTTAAACAACACTTTTTATGGATATCTTTAAGAAATGGCTTTCTTCTTGCCACTCTTCCATAAAGGCCAGATTTGTGCAGTATACGACTGATTGTTGTCCTATGGACAGAGTCTCCCACCTCAGCTGTAGATCTCTGCAGTTCATCCAGAGTGATCATGGGCCTCTTGGCTGCATCTCTGATCAGTCTTCTCCTTGTATGAGCTGAAAGTTTAGAGGGACGGCCAGGTCTTGGTAGATTTGCAGTGGTCTGATACTCCTTCCATTTCAATATTATCGCTTGCACAGTGCTCCTTGGGATGTTTAAAGCTTGGGAAATCTTTTTGTATCCAAATCCGGCTTTAAACTTCTCCACAACAGTATCTCGGACCTGCCTGGTGTGTTCCTTGTTCTTCATGATGCTCTCTGCGCTTTAAACAGACCTCTGAGACTATCACAGTGCAGGTGCATTTATACGGAGACTTGATTACACACAGGTGGATTCTATTTATCATCATTAGTCATTTAGGTCAACATTGGATCATTCAGAGATCCTCACTGAACTTCTGGAGAGAGTTTGCTGCACTGAAAGTAAAGGGGCTGAATAATTTTGCACGCCCAATTATTCAGTTTTTTATTTGTTAAAAAAGTTTGAAATATCCAATAAATTTCGTTCCACTTCATGATTGTGTCCCACTTGTTGTTGATTCTTCACAAAAAATTACAGTTTTATATCTTTATGTTTGAAGCCTGAAATGTGGCAAAAGGTCGCAAAGTTCAAGGGGGCCGAATACTTTCGCAAGGCACTGTAAAAATTACTGCAGGTAGTGCAATGTAGGCCTAACTTCACAAAGGTTTATTCAGCTACTGTACAATGCTGACAAAATACTAAAGTACAGCTAAAGCTTATATATGTAAGGCTCCTGACAAAGGATCTCCCAGTTCTCCCAGGTCATTTTTCACAGAAACACCTTTTTATATTACAGTCCACACCAACAACATAGTCGTTTTGGAAAATAACTAAGTACATTTACTTAAGCAAGCTCCTGGTACTGGAGCAGTTTTGAGCTACACTTTTAGAAAGCTGTGCTGGTGCATTTAAAGACATTCTGTGCACAAATTACAGCTCGTTAATAGTTTAAAGGGTGAAAAGAATGAGCCTTTTCACCCTTGGTTATATATAACCAAGTATCCACCTTTTTGAAAGACCTAAGACCAATGAAATGATTGAGAGAAGCAACAAGTCAGATGGCCAGTGGCACCATATTGTAATTCTAAATTATCTATTAAAATAAAAATGATGACAATGTTAGGTTTTAAGCAAGCTGAATTGATGATTTCTTGTGTGCCTCGAAGAGTCTTCTTTATGTGTTGCAGACTTGGGTTAATAAACAAAGCTGAAGCTGAAAGGTGATAAATGAGTCTTTGGTTGGAGGGGGTCAGACTCATGGATGGCCACATCAAGCTCCCCAAAGTCACTGAAAATCTGTGAGAAAAATCAGAGATCATTGTTTGTTTGTTTTGGTTTCTTTCTTTAAGAACCTGCAGGCTGTACCTAGTCACTTATATACACTTAACACTAATCAGATCATTACATGCTATCAGTGTCAACACACACGTACCTTTTTCAAGACGTTCACAGTGTTTATGTCCACAAAGCTGGTTTTTGAAATGTCCAAAATGATGCTATGCGTGCGTGATTCACTTGAACTCCCTTTATCCTCGTCACCATGGTATGTTACCGGGGGCAGGTTGTTATCACCAGGGCCTAAATCATGTTGGTAAGCCCAGTTTACCTGACCTGTACCAAGGTCAATTGTAGAAATCCCAGCTTGTTTAAAGTCTGTGAGATTCACTTGATTCTGTCCGCTCAGCTCTGCAGGAAATCCCCCCTCCTCAATCTTTGACTTCTTTAAAGCAAATATGCCACTGAACAGGCGCCTGTTGAGCTGGTTCTGCCAAGAGGTTGAAAAAGTGGTATTAAGTATTAGTGAGTTCTTAGTTCAAATCCATAAATGACTGGTTTTATCTCAGAAGAATTCATATAATTTGTGTTATTAGCACATCATACTTGGTTCTTTGCCAGCTTTTTCGCTTTCTTTATCTCTTTCTCTTCTTTACGCTTCAGTGCTTCATCTCGTTTCCTCTTCGTTGTCAGCAGCTTCTCAAGGTCAAATCCAGTCTGTACAAAAATCCAAGCATTGCATTAAAGAGAGAGAAAAGAAAGTGAGAAAGATAATGAAAGATAAACTGTAATGATAATGCTAAATATAATGAAAGCAATTGTACTGGAGGCATCTGGCAGTCTAAGGCTGCACATAAACACACATCCACATGGATGCACATGCATATACAGCACCTTCTTTTCCAGGGCCTCCGTGAACCTCTCAGCATTTATGTGGTACAGAGTTGCAGATGTACTGAAGATTTTAATTCCAGGAATCTCTTTAGCCTGCAGAGACACATCATGAATTTGACTTCAGAAACTCATACTTTGTGCTGCCCTCCCTTATTGTTTGACCAAATGGAGCTTTGTACTACTTCAGGACTGAAAGTTGATGTAGGTCTATTCACAAACTGCCTGTCTGAAAGCATCAGTTCAAACAACTCTTTCAATTTTTGTGAATAAATATGGCACCAAGTGTCTTTCATTTATGACTAAAGGATTCTTACCTCCTTGTAGGTTTCTATGTCAAGATACAAGGCTGTGTCTGGCACAAGACCCAAGATATAGTAGCGAGGTCTGAAATGTATTAAAATGACAAATTTACAGTAAGACCTGCCTTGCAACTCACTGAAACTTTTGCCAAAATCTCTAATTGTGCTTGCATATAGTATATGCCAATACTTTAAAATTAGTGGTGTGTAATTACAGTTGTGATCTGATGATGTAAACAAACAAGGAAAAGCCAACGGCAGCAGCCAGGCCAATGTCCAGGTTGAGCAGGATGGTACATGCGAATGTCACCAGCCACACCACCTGGAAGACAATATAAACACTGACAGTCAGTGGAATCAACAGTGATGTTAGTTTCTATTATTTAATTGAGTTAAATGACTCATACAAAGAATGTGGTCATACCATATCAATCTTATTGGTCTTCCACAGTGTATAGACATCAGTCAACTGCATGAACATTAATGTTAAGTTCACAAATACTATTGCAGCTAAGACAACCTGAGGAGAACACACAGCATAACTGGTTATTAAACTGTCTGCCAGGAGAGAAAATGATCATTATAAAGAAATGCTATAAGAAGGGTAGTGTTACCTTGGGGAGCTCTTGAAAAAGAGAACCTATTTTCAAAATCACAATCATCATAGCAATGCATGAAATTAGTCCCGCAAGCTGTCAAAACACACACAGTGAGAGATACACTGATTTTGTAAATGAATGGTCTCAAGTTGAATATGCTAATTAGATGTAATCAGTGGTATTTGTGCAAATATGTATTCTATGTGCATATTTACTTGTGTCTTGCCCCCTGTGGTCTCCTGGACGAGGCTGCGGGACAGGGAGGAGGACACATTGTAACAAAAAAAAAAGCTGCCAATGCCGTTACTAAGACCCACTGCAGCCAGCTCCTGGAAATAAAGAAACAGCAAAATGAGATACAGCATCTAAGTTTACAGAAATGTGCATTTACATTTAGGCAATACACAATATCAAATTTAAACAATTTCCAGAAAATAACTGCTAAACAAATTAAAAGCTAAGATCGAATAATTTGAATTTGAGGACTTTCAGCCTCTTTGTTTTATAATTATTTTTGATTGTGTGTAAAGCTCTAGGGGGTGCTGTTGATGAGACAGATGCTGTTGAGTTGAGGTGGTGTGCTGCAGCCAGTTGTTGTGAATCCATGATTTGATACCAAATCCACAAACAATAGAGAAATGACACATAGGTGCACAAAATAATGCACGACTGCAGCTCATGAGCCATGAAAACATATAGACTTAATGTACCCACCCCAAGCTGCCAAACTGTTATTTTTTTAAACACCTAACAAGTTAATTTTCTTTTTATAATGAGATACCTTTTGTCATGTTAACGTAATACTTCAAAATGATATTGTTTTGTTGTTAAAACAACAAGTATGTTTTGCCCTCATGATCAAGTGTAATGAGCAAAGAGTAGAGTCTAACATTACTCCAGAGTTGGCAGGCCCTGTTAGCAGTGAGTTATACAGGATCAGAGCTATATGTGGGTAGTATAGTATGGGTAAGTGTCTATGCCTCACCTGGTTATTGTCCACCTTGTAGCCATGCTTGAGGGCAAATGTTTTGGCCAGTGCAATGTTGATGGTGTAGCTCACTATGGCCAGAGAAATAGCATCACCCGCAATCGATGGGAAAAACGAGCCATCTGGAACAACAGGGGCCCTGAAGCTGGAGCAGGAGAAAAAGATGAATGGTTCCATGTTTTATCTGGTACCTTGTACAGTGCAGAGTCCTGACACAAGCAGCTCTACTAACAGTTCTGGACATTAAGGCAACTCACATTTTTCCTTAAGTTCTTAAAAAACTTCAGCAGCACATTTGACCTTTTGCTGATTTCTGGTCTTCCACTTACAGGCTGCACTCTGTTATTATTGTTTTACATTTTATGGAAACAGCTCACATGTGCTGCAGCTGCCAAACACACGAACCTTTACAATCATATGGAAAAACATCCCATTTTGTTTTTACCAAAAATGACCAAACCACAATATTACATTAAAATCAGACACAAGAAGGCTCTCAGTAGCTTTCGTAATTATTACATTATTATTGCTATTATACATCCTCTATTTAAATAAGCATTCTTGTTTTATCTGGGGAAACTCTGCTCACCTGTAAACCTTTCCACAACCATAGCCTTCCCAAAAACATGATATTTTCAGGAACTCACAAACTTTCTGTCATTCTCTTTGTTTATCCATAGAAACATATGATTCAAACACACAAAGATGAACTTACCCAGAGGGAATCACTCCAACCACATCAACGCCGTATTTATCAATAAGTCCAGCGTAGTGGGTGATGATTGTTGCTACTATGACCTGGTGAAAAAAAAAAATGCAAAAGGAATGTCAGTTCTGGGATATACTTTATTATTGCTCTGAGCACCTGCAACCCTTTTTTGGCAAAAGTCAACAGTCACAGAGTCCAGTATGATTACTGTGGTGAAAGCCCCTGTTGGACTGCTAAATATGCACAGCTCCTGTACAACTGGAAAAGAGAAGACAGAGGAAACATCAAATGGAATACTTACAAGTATGAGTTCGATAGGGATGGGCGCAATCATCTTCTCTTTGCAGCGGTAATTGATATTTTTAATCACAATGAGAACTGAAAGCGCGATCACGCCCACCACCAGCTCTACCACCCTAGTTTTAGGCAGCATTCGGCAAACATCCACCACAGTCTGTGAGGAAAACAGAAGGAAAGAACAGAAGGAGAAAGTTGGAAATATGGTTAATACAAATTCAGTATCATGTAGAAAACAAACAAAAAAAACCTATTTAAAATTCTGCTAAAAGATTAAACCTCTTCTCAGGGCTCTGTGGGCATGTCCACACCACATATAATACTTAATTGACAAATATGTTGCACCTGGTTTACATACAATATATAGTAGTACATAGCATGATTATCTCACATAATTCCCAGTGTAGTCCCACCTGATTACAACATAGGCATATGTCTGTGTGCTGGAGCTTTAGTAAGTAAGTAAAGAAGGAAAAAAAAACTTTCACACACTATCCATCCATTATCTATACCACTAAACCTGAATAGGGTCATAGGGGGGCTGGAGCCAATCCCAGGTGACATTGGATGAGAGGCGGGGTTCACCCTGGACATGTCGCCAGTTTATCACAGGGCTGACATTTAAAGACAGGCAACCTCACACACCAACACTCACTCCTAGGAACAATTTTGAGTCGCCAACCTAAGCTGCATGTCTTTGGACTGTGGGAGGAAGCTGGAACCCGGAGAGAACCCACACAGGCACAGGGAGAACATGCAAACTCATTTCACAAACTACACAAACAATATATGTGTTCATTAGTGAGTTTTACAGGTGCTGGTAGGTAGGTTTTGCTACCTTTCCATTCTTTATGCTAAGCTAAGCTAACCAGCTGCTGGCTGTAGATGCATATTTACAGTAACAGACAGACACAGGAACGGTATTGATGTACTGTAACAGCAAGTACATTTGACAAACTGTAGCTTTAATGATACTCAAGTTCAAGTATCATTAAAATGCTTATCAAGGTGTAAAAGTCTTATTCCAAATCTGTACTTTCGAGTATTTTATGTTATGTGTGTTATGTGTTATAATTTTGCCTAAACACTTCAAGTCAATAATTTAGTGTCTTGTCTGTATCCATATGTGAATTGTCTGAGGCATGACAAACTCACATAAATGAGGGAGAGGGGGCCACTGTATCGAGCGATTGAGACTCCAAACAGATACTTTAGCTGGGTGCTGGCTACTTGACATGCTGATGCAGTGGTGTAAGCACGAATCAGTGGCTGAGACAGATAGGTCACAACAAATCCAAATCTCACAATACCCAGCAGGATCTTAGGATGGAAAAGAGAGAAAAATGTTAGGGAAATATGATTTAAAATGGTTACGCAGTTTGGTCAAAACATACCCACAAACAGAGACGCACCTGAAAGATTCCTGTCAAGAGTGCGAGGGAACATGCTATCTGTACTCTGGCAACATCCCGTGCAGTGGTGTTCACGGTTGTTCCATTAGTGCCATTTACAAGAAAGTTCTGGTCTGGTGCTAGCCTTACTGTTGCACTCCCAGCCATCATGCTGATTACAGAAAACGTACCTGGACATGTAAAATATGAGCATGTAGACACATACATTGATGCACACAGACACAAACAAGGATCTGATTTACAATGATGATATTGTGTTTTTCTTTCTTTTTCAACCACAGTCACCTACACACACTTACTGTACTCACCTATGGAGACGTGTCTGGAAGTACTGAAGATGGCAAAGATCAGGATCGGATAGAAGGAGGTGTATAGACCATGCACAGTGGGTATGGCAGCCAGAGGAGCATATGCCATGCCTGGTAAAACAAATAAAATTAAAGTGTTGTCTTTTATCTAGTGCAAATTTGATGGAAAAAATAACACATTATAATTCAGTCTAAAGTTAACACTCTGTGGATGTTTAATATGTTGATATTATGGAATAATTTTGACAGTTTTGGAATGACAGTTATTATTATTTTTGTTGACTGAGATAAAAGAACTGAAACCACTCTCATGTTTGTCCATTAAATGTGAAGCTACAGCATGGAAACAATGAGCTTAGTTTATCAAACAGACTAGAAGCAGCCAGAAACTCCTAGACCAGTCAATACAGAAATGAGAGTGTCCCCGGTTTTCTCACCCAACTCCCAGCAACAATGAGATTAAGTGCATGTCCCAAAAGGTCAAACTATACCATACAAACCTTGTGGTAGATGCATACTGGCCACACTGAATCCAGCAATCAGGTCCCCAATTGCATTTTCTCTGAGTGAGTACTGAGGCAGCCAGCCTAGAATAGGCACCCAGCTTGTTACTGTGCGCTTCAGACTGGGACACCTATAACAGCCATCCCAGAAAATCATACCATTCATATTACTGAGTATGAAATACTGAAGCCACATACATACACAAATTCACATTCAAATTATTCACTCAGTGTTTGTGCAGATTCTCAGCCATCCAGGTCATAGTAAGCTTAAAAAACGTAGAAAAAGAAAATCAGCTGGACTTGGTGTTTCAGTCCTTTGAAGGCCAACAATGTCCCCTAATGACTGAGTCATTATAGCCCAGTATCGGTGAGAGTCTTTACCTGTCTTTGACTCCTCCCCTGTCGATCGACACCTATTGTCCTGGTGGGCATGTTTGGACAGAGATCTCAAAACAGGATTGTAGATGGAAGACAAGTTGTGTCTTAGTCCACCACCCCCTATTTAGTGAGGGGTGTTCTATTTTTACAAAAATAGCTTCCTTGACTCCTCTCTCAAACCAGCGATGTTCTCTGGGGAGGATCTGGACTTCACTGTCCTCAAAAGAATGTCCTTTGTCCTTCAGGTGGTGGTGGACTGCTGACTCTGGTCCATTGGAGTTGACCCTCCTGTGTTGGCCCATGCATTTGTGCAGTGGCTGCTTAGTTTCACCAATGTACAAGTCATTACACTCCTGACTACACCTAATGGCATACACCACATTACTCTGTTTGTGTCTGGGTGTTTTGTCCTTCGGGTGGACCAGTCTCTGCCGCAGGGTGTTCTCTGGTTTAAAGTTAACTTGGATATTGTGGTTGCGAAAGATCCTTTTTAACTTCTCTGATAAACCAGCCACATAAGGGATGACAGTGTTATCCCCTCTCACAAAAGATATTCAGGTCGCTAAAAGGTTACACTGACATGCATTAGAATAAAATGCACTTCGCTTTTGTTGCTCTGTTCCCTCTCTTTCTTCACACCTACATTCATCTCTCTCTTTGTTCAACACCTGCTTCTATTAGTTTCTCTTCTTAACTGACCCATCTTCTTCCTTTGCTCCCCCCACTATATGATGTTTTCACATGAAATGCCAGTAAGACAGACACTGATCCAGAGTCACCGCTTCATGTTTCAGTGCTCTCGTGCAAAGCCCTTCATCTTTAATTGTTTCGCTGATAGCTTCTTTGATGGTTAACAGTCGGAAACTGCTGCGATTGAATTAGGTGTTTATAATGAATGAGCAGACTCAGCAAACCTTATGAGAGGAAGTTGAAAGGGAAGAAAACACTTCAATAGTCAGTTAATTGAATTATTATTTCCTAACTGGCATCTAAGTATTGTGATAAAATTAAATGAGCTAGTAAGAGTGGATTGTCTGAGGAGGAGAAGAGTGACGTGTGTGCATGAACTGAAAAATCACCAAATCATCATCATGATACGACTACCATTGCACACACAAACACATATAATTATATACTGTAGAGGAGTAAAGGCTGCCTTTTGCTGGGGGTCATAAATCAAAGTGTATTTGAACATGAGTGTGTATCATTCACACACATATTAAACAGTCTATAACCTTCTTCTTGTAGCCACTGGTGGGGTCCCTCTTTAGTGCTTCATAGGTGGTGGTGTCACTGGTCGGAAACTCTGGTCTGATAGTCAGCTGAGTTTAGGACTACTGTACACCTGCCTTCTGGAAGGACTCTCACTGATACTGGGCTATAACGACTCAGTCATTAAGGGACATTTTTGGCCTTCAAAGGACTGAAACACCACCGAGGGGGATAAATATCTCTGGCTCAACACCAGTCAGTCAGAACTGATGAAGCCTCTTGGATGAGTGGGGCTCCTTCCTTTTGTATTTTGGGTAGGCCATAAAGGCAAGGGATGGCCTCCCCGGGTTATAGTCTGTAGTATAGTCACCATTCAATAACTCCCTCTTTTTCCAGCTTCTGGACAATAGGTGTCGGTCCACAGGTGAGGGTTCAAAGACAGGTAACGACGCTCCACCGATACTGGGCTATAACAGGCAGAACTGATGAAGCCTCTTGGGTGAGAGGTGAAATGTCTTCGACCTAAAACCAAATCCACTTGATTTTTTTTCTATGTTTTTTTCAGCTATTTACTCAGTGTTGAACTGGGGAGGCAAGGCAAGCTTAAAGCACAGTTTCATACACGAAAACAATTCAGTGCTTTACATAATACAAACACAGAAATAAAAATTAAAAGACCTGAAGAATGATATTAAAGTATAGACATGTTTAACAAAAGAGACATTAAATAAATCCCTTGGAAAAAAGAACAGTTCTACAAATGGTGACAAATCTAAGTTCTGGTTCCAGCTGCTGGCTCCAGCTGTGGGCAGCATCATGGCTAAAACTCCAGGATTTAGACAGGTGAAAATATCTTCCAGAACCTCAGTCAGGCCCACCTGCCACCTAACACATACAGAAATACATCCAAACACATATGTATCCTTCAGTTTGTGTCATTGTGTGTCACAGTGTTCTCTCATTTGCCTGCCACACGTCCCAAGCTCTGCCATCTCATCTCTTCTCTTACCTGAAGAAATTTTTTACCCGTTCACGCACAGGTGGTTTAGTGATCCATTTCCCTTCTTGTGCCACTTCACCCAGACGCAACTCATCCAGAACCTCTTTCTCTACAAAATAGTCCTTGTCCACCATGTCTTTTTGAGCAAATTCAGCAGACGTCCAGGAATCTCTTCTCCCTGAGGGTCCTCTTCAGACAGTTACAGGTGTTACAACAAAAGCCAAACACCATGTAGTGAGAGTGAAGCCCCCTCACTGTTTTATACTGACTGACAGTTCTTGTTTCTCCAGCTGTTTTTGGATTGTGGGAGTGACTGTACCTTTTTGATCCTTATAAATGAACAACCACCAACCCACACATCTCTATTCTGCAC